CCCCAAGATCTTTCCGAGGGTAATAGTTCCAATACCTATGGTCTCCCTTTGTTCCATCTCTTAACATCAATACATAGGGACTATGCCTCTGACACATGAAACCACAGATGGACACACCAAAAACAAACACACACTTGAATATCACTTTTAGCTTAAAAAGCTAAGATGGACTTAATGCTCTCTCTCTCACACACACACACCCATTTGTCTAGGTACCATTTAAAGAAACAAAGATCTCTGTGTAACAATTAGTAATGACAACCACTTTTGCCTTCTTAACTTTCTCCAAAACTCCAAGAAGCACAAGAGCCCTTTCCTACAGTGACAGTTCTTTGTTCGCCCAGACTTCAGTCAAGCTCCTAAACATCCTAGGCCCACCTGTGCATTTCCCTACACAATTCAGCTTTACCAAAGAATCCTGCTCCACTAATATCTGAGCACCCCTAGCATCTCATCAGATTCTTCCGTCAGGCACCATCCCTCAGATGGTGTTCTAATCACAGTGACCTTTACTCAGCTAAAATACTGGCGTCCTTTTAGATAGCATTTCCCTTCTCTCTGACGTTTCCTCTTAGCGCTTTTCCATGTACTGACCCCCAACCTGCTCCTTGCTAGGATTTCCTACCTGTTCACACCGAATTCAGAGTTTAGCCCACTCTCTTTCCCCAGCTGAAGTCACCATTGCAGCAATCACAACACCCGTCAAGAGGACCCTTAACAAGGTCCTCCTCAATGTCTATAACAGACGTGATAAAAGATTCTGTGTTTCTCTATTTCTTCGTCTAGAAAATGATAATAACGTCTGCTTGCCTCGAATGGCCACAAAAAGCATAAAAAGAAGACAAAAAAATGCTGCTTATAAAGTCCTTTACCAACCTGACAAAGTATGAAATATTAGCACTTTAAATATTGCAAGTGAATGCAGCCCAACAGCCTTTCAGGCTGAAATATTACAGAGGGACCCTATCCTTCTCCACATCAAATAGAGACATCCCATTTTCCTTCTCCACCATCCCCATTTCTACTGTCGCGGTCTGCTCATGTGGCATCCACCACTGGAAGGGAAAGGCAGGCAGAAAGCTGGGTAGGCACATCTTTCTAGCCTCTCCTGGCCATGCCTGGCTCTTTAGCATTGCAAAGTAGAATGAGATACAACTCCCTGAGTATATGGCTGCCATCAGGGTTCAACTCATGAAGACAAGGTTACTCACGAGACACAGAGGCACAGGACTCCTGGCACGGACTCGCTGTCTCTTATCAGAAAGTTGCCATCCAGCCCTCCCTTGAGGAGCAGGGTTTCACACTCTCTCTTGGTCAGCTGGCCATGGTAGTAAGGCAGATCCATGGAGGGCTAAGTTATGCTTTAGCTGCCCTGGCAACCTGAGATGAAGTCCCAGGCCAGGCTGTGGCTCTGAAGAGGGAAGTGGAGAGAGTAGAGAAAGGGAAACGTTCTTTCTTCCAGTGTTGTCCAAACAAGACACGAGATTGCTCTGTGGGTTCAGTCAGTTTTACAAGACTCAGGAAATGAGAAGGGAGGGGTGACAAAGTGACCAAGACATTTCAGCCTAGGGGTGGCTGGCTTAAATATGACTCACAGAAGCGCAGAAGCGGGTGAGCATCTTCCAGCTCAGTACTGTGTGTGGGCTGCAGCAGCAACACTGGATTCAAGCCCCCCTGGTACAGGTTACAGTCTGTCCGTCTGTCCGTCGTCCCCGTCCCACCCCTCCACCCCCGCCCATTTTCATCCCTTATGGCTATCAGTGTGCTCTCTGAGGAGCATACTGCTGACCCTGCTATACTGGATACATAGATTCTTCTGGGGCTTTCTCAGATAGTCCTCAATGTCAATCGCCATCTATTCAAAAGTAAGCTTCTCTGATGAAGGTTGAGAAAAGCACTGATCTGTGGATACAGTAAGTCCTTTGGTGATGGGTTAATACCATGTCCATTTAACAGAGTCATAGTAGTAGGTTCTCCCCTAGGTACAAGGACCTCTCTAGCCACAGGTTCTTGACCTCAATAACAGTGTTAAGCACAAATTTCTGTTTGGGGGCATCCATCAGAGGCTTCTTTGACACAGGTTTAAACCAATAGAAAATCTTTCTTAGCTAGCCAATGACTACATGACTACACTGGATGTTCAGTTCGAGGTCCAGCCTTGTTTACAAAGTGAGTTCCAGGACAGCCAGAGCTGTTACGTGAAGCAGGACCATAGAAGCCAAAAAAGCAAGCTTAGTACCTTTAGAGACTTTCCCAGATTTGTGGACTTTGATGAATAGGTCTTCATTTTCATGTTTTTTTTTCTTTTTGACCCAGTGGTTCTCAACCTGTGGATTTTGACCCCCACAGGGATCACATATCAGATATCCTGCATATCAGATATTTACATTATCATTCATAAAAGTAGCAAAATTACAGTTACGAAGCAGCAACAAAATCATTTTATGGTTGTGGATCACCATAACATGAGGAACTGTGTTAAAGAGTCACAGCGTTAGGAAGGCTGAAACCACTGTCTTGGCACTGTCTATATGCTGAGTTTAATTTTAGGCCTGAATGGTACATTCATCATGGCGTCAGTTCTGCTAAGGTCTAGTGGCTTACTAATGTCTGGGTGCCTGTTCCAGTTTCAATTGGTGGAGTGGACTTTAATCCAATCAGAAGTTGTGTTGGTCACTTCTGTGACATTTGTGCTGCTGTCGCACCAGTGGACATATCTTGCCAGTTGCTCCTTGCTTTAGCTCATAGGGTTCACAACTAGGTAAGAATAATGATTACTTTTCTTCTCTCGTAGCATGCATAGCACTATAAAAACTAGCCAGGAAGAATGAGGCTTCTGGGTAAAAGGCAACTTAATTTCTCTGTGTTTCATAACTCAAGTATGTGGTGTCTTCAGCTCCAGGGCCTTACCATAGAGTTCTGGAGAATAACCCAAAACAATGACAATACCCTATAATATTTGAGATCTATGGGACCTGTAGTGGTTTGAAAATAATGAACCCTGATCAGGCCTAGAGGTGAGTGACTCTGTTCATACCCAGTGAGCCCTGCCCCTAGGACCCATTCCTGGGCCCTAGCCATTTCCCCCGGAAGCACCCATCCAACTTGGCCCCAGTTGCCAGCCAGCAGGCAGGGCTCCTGCAGGAAGGCCCCTCCCTCACCAAGAACCCTTAGCGGACGCTGCAATCTATATGCCCTGCCCCCATACCCATCCGCCAGAGACCCCAGCCACTTCCTGGGGCTTGGAAACCAAACCAGCTCTATTCAGACCTAGAGAGAGAGCTCCCATTGGACAAAGAGCTGTCATTGGACCAAGAGTAACCTCAGGAGACAGGCAATCTGCCAGCCCTCATTAGAACAAGAGTGGTTTTCTGAAAAGTAGAATCGGCCACCTCTCATTGGACCAAGAGAGGCTTCCTGAAACACAGAATCTGTCAGCTCTGACTGGACCAAGAGCCCTGATAAGACCAAGAATGAATCCATGAGTCACAGAATCAACTAGCTTGGGTTGACCCAAGAGAAGCTCCCTGAGACACAGAATCTGCCTGCTCCAATTAGACCAAGAGCTAAGATAGGACCTCGATGGGCCCCCTGAGGCACAGACACAACAAGCACAGAGAGGACCAACTTTCTCAGACACAGGCACCTCTTATACCCATTAGCAAGATGGGCAGATGTCAAGGCAGAAGTACATACAACATAAAGAGCAATACAGCTTTACCAGAACCTAACCCTCCTCCAACAGCAAGACCTGAACATCACAAGGTAGAAGAAGCAGAAGAAAGTGACCTTAAAACTAGCATCATGAAGATGCTACAGGCCTTTCAAGAAAAAATAAAAAATAAAATTGAGGAAAAGACAAACAAAAAAGTGGAAGAAATCTGTAAAGAAATAGAGGGAAAGACAAACAAAAATTGGAAGAAATCTGTAAAGAAATAGAGGGAAAGACAAATAAAAAATTGGAAGAAATCAATAAGTCCCTTAAAGAAAATCATGAAAAAGCAATTAAACAGGTGAGGGAAACCGTTCAAGACCTGAAAAGGGAAATAGAAACAATGAAGAAGACACAAACAGAGGGAATGCTGGAAATAGAAAATCTGAGTTAACAAACAGAAAACACAGATGCAAGCATAACCAACAGAATACAAGAGATGGAAGAAAGAATCTCTGGTGTAGAGGATATAACAGAGGAAATAGATTCATCATCAAAGAAAATACCAAAGCCAAAAAAGTCATAACACAAAATGTCCAAAAATCTGGGACACCATGAAAAGACCAAACCTAAAAATAATAGGGATAGAGGAAGGAGAAGAATACCAACTCAAAGGCACAGAAAATATATTCAACAAGATCATAGAAGAAAACTTTCCCAACTTAAAGAAGGAAATACCTATGAAGATACAAGAAGCCTATAGAACACCAAACAGACTAGACCCCCCAAAAAAAAGTCTCCTTGCCACATAATAATTAAACAACTAAACCTACAGAATAAAGAAAGAATATTAAGAGCAGCAAAGAAAAAAGGCCAAGTGATTTATAAAGGCAAACGCATCAGAATAACACCCAATTTCTCAATGGAGACTTTGAAAGCCAAAAGGACCTGGAACAGATGTAATGCAGACACTAAGAGACCATGGATGCCAGCCTAGACTAATATACCCAGCAAAACTTTCAGTCACCATAGACGGAGTGAACAAGACATTCCAAGAAAAAACCAGATTTAAAAAATATTTATCCACAAATCCAGCTCTACAGAAAGCACTAGAAGGAAAATTCCAACCTAAGGAAGTCAGATACACCCACGAAAATAGAGGCAATAGATAACCCCACAGCAGTAAACCCCAAAGAAGATAAGTACACACACACTACCACCAAAAGATAACAGGTCATTAATATCCCTTAATATCAATGGACTTAATTCACCTATAAAAAGACACAGGCTAACAGAATGGATACGAAAGCAGGACCCATCTTTCTGCTGCATACAAGAACACATCTCAATTTCAAAGATAGACACTATCTCATAATAAAATGTTGGGAAAAGTCTTTTCAATCAAATGGTCTTAAGAAGCAAGCTGGTGTAGC